AGGAGGGGATGAGATGTTGATCCAAGATGGGAGGAGGAGGGGGGAGGAGGAGAGGGAGGAGGGGAGGAGGGGGAGGAGGAGGGGGGAAGAGGAGGGGGAGGGGGAAGAGGAGGGGGAAGAGGAGGGGGAGGGGGAAGAGGAGGGGGAGGGGGAAGAGGAGGGGGAGGGGGAAGAGGAGGGGGAGGAGGAAGAGGAGGGGGAGGAGGAAGAGGAGGGGGAGGAGGAGGGGGGAAGAGGGGGGGAGGAAGGAGGAGGGGAGGGGAGGGGGAGGAGGAGGGGAGGGGAGGGGGAGGAGGAGGAGCTGCCCCAAAGCTTGGAGTGGTAGTAGGGATGGGATTAGAGGTGAGAGTAGACCCACCAGGGGAAGGGCTGAATGAAGTAGTGCTGTACACTGTGGGACTTAGCCACCTAAGCAGATGAGGGTACAAGGTTCTCAGGGCATGTGGCCCATCCATCAGCTTCTACAATTTCTAGAATATCCAATTGGGTCCCTTGAGGTATTTCCACTCTTAGAATTCTGACACACTCAAGTTTCTGACAACTGTGACAGTTGACCAGCCCCATATTCACTCCCCCCACCCCAGACCCCACTTACAAACTTTTCTGGGCAGGAATTCTACCTCAGCATGCCATAGCTAAGAGCTATGTGTGTGGACTTTGTTGACATCATAGCCTAGTGAATAGGAATATCTGGTGTCTGGGGAACTAACTTGCAGTGGACATTTCCTCTGTCTAAGACTGCCCAGAGACACTGTGAATTCCTATTACGCTCTGCCATGTCCCACACAGCACAGGAGATGGGTGTGACCTGCCAAGATGCCAATCAACCTGATGACTGCAAGACTTCACTGAAGCAAGACTCTGCCCTTGAAACCTTATCCCTGACTTTGATGCACCCCCCCTTAAATAAACCACTGGAGCCATCTTCTTTTGTCTAGCTTCAGCAACTCTGCGGACTACATGAAGCCGGATGTCATTATATGATAAAGAAAAATATTTTATATCTTAGGTGAAAACTCTCAAGGAGTCTTGGAAATAAAGGAGATGCTATGCCACAAACACTCTCACCAAAATGGAAAAGGGTTCCAAGTTCTAACTAAACCAGTGACTAATATGTGCCTCTGATTTTAGCAATCATTACTAAGTCCCATGATTTCCTTCTCAAAGGAGCAATAGTGTGTGTGTGTGTGTATTCAATGTCCTCTAGTAACCTAGCCCTCTATTTGTGAATCATTTAGTAGGGCTACCTTTCACCTTAGACTTACAAATAAGCACAATCTAAGAGTTCCCAATTTTCCTTTGAACTACCAGATTTTCTCAAGCCTTAACTATCTTTAACAAAACATGAAGTTTCTCATTCTACGACAAAGCAGGGAGGGGACAAAATTTAACTGCATATGGCCAAGGAAGAATAAACTCTCAGAGATTTTTATTCATTTTAAATAATAAATGTGAAAACACTTAGAAAACTTAATACTTGATATAATCAATTTGCTAATCAAGAATAACAGATTCCTTTTTGTTTTGCAATGGCAGGATGCAAGCAGAAAAAAGTATGAAATTTTGTTTGGATCACACAATGTAGTTTACAAAATTATATTTATCTATCTATATATATATCACATTTAAATTTCCATAGCTGTAGTCTTCATTTTAAGGTATATTCAGATACATATAAAATGTTTCTCTGAAAGACAACTTGGTAAGTATATAGCCCTTCAACCATACAATGTACATAGTCCTGTTTCACAGGACTTATTTTTTGATGTACAGCTCTGATACTCCTGAATTCAAAAATTTTACTATAAAATTCAATCTCTCAACTAAATAACCAATATATCTTCCCAGAATGACATGGTCCAAGTTTGTGTTTTTTCATAAAAGCTCGAAGAAATTAAGTTTTATGTGCAGTAGTGCTTAAAAAGAGACGCTGGTGGCACACTAGTGATAAAACATATTGCAATTCCATCAGAATGTAAAGGACCCAACGTTGTGTGAAAATACTATGACATTATCATTGGCTATACACCAGAACCCATAAGAGATTTTATTTTATTTATATATATATATAGTAAAACTTTCTAAGGAGGTCTGCATGGCTAGATTTTGATCAGCACAATTAGTGAGTGATGTTATGTCCTAGATTTTCCCCAAATTTTAATCACACAAAACACCATTGGTTCACAAAAACTCATTTAATTTGATGCTACAATTTGTGTTGTTTTCAATCACTATATTTTTAGAGCTCCACTGTATTTTAGTTCCACAGTACTAGATTCTAATCAGCAAATATCTGTAACTATAATATTTAAGCTATAAACATAGTTTTGTTTTGCAATGGAAGGATGAAAGCAGGAGAAAGTATGAAATTTTGTTTGGATCACACAAGGTAGTTTACAAAATTATATCTATACATCGCATTTAATTTCTCAATAGCTGTAGTTTAAAGCTTAAACAGTTAAATAAAACAAAACAGGCTGAGGATGAAGCTCAGTGATAAAGTGTCCCTAGGTTCAATCTCTGGTACCATTAAAAAAAGAGAGAGAACATTAAGGATCTAGGGGAAGATCAATACCTTTTTTTCTCCCCTATGTCTGCCCTACTTCCGATCCATATATCCAACCCCATGCTTGGGGGGTGGGGTAGGGAGAACAACCAATAATTTCTTTACCTCTAGAGGAGGTTATAGGGCTTCCTCTCTGAAAAAAAGAGAAGTCTTATCTAAAATAGGAAGTAGAGAAGGTGCTTTAAGAAAAAAACTGAAAGGATAGGTAAATATATTTAAAATTTAGTACTCCAAAGGGAAGGAAAGTAGAATGAGTTGGAAGGGAAGGTACTTGCGGGGGAAAAGCTAAGGAAAAGAAAGCATAACACATTAAGGGAGTAACTTTGTAAGGAAAGGAGATGACTAGGTAGGTTTTCCTTTTTATGGTGACCAAGTTTCTTAGGATGAAAAGCATAGCTGGAACTGACAAATTACACTCAACTTTGGTATCAAATTAGCTGAATTATCAGTAGTTCAAAAGATTGTACGAAAGATCTATAAAGTTTTATGCAGCTCAGTGGAAGAGTATATGTCTACATGTATGAGGCTTTGTATTCAATCACCAGATCCCAAACCAAAAAATAACAAAACACCCTAAATATAGATAGGCTCTAACATTACACTTCCATTTTTAAAACATGAGCTTAAATCTATTGCATTTGGCAGCTAGCTATCTCTAAGTTTAAGGTTAATGTTGAGTGAGTACCTGGAGACTTAAAGGGAATATGGAGAACATGAAGAATATAAAATAACTGTTATTGGTTGCAGTAGTAAGGGTATTAAGTCAATTTCCTTCTTAGCCATCCATCATCTACTAAATATCAAGCTACTGCAGACTGATGCTGTAATCAAAATCAGTCAATATGCCATTCAATTCAATATAGATAATTCTCTTAATATATACTGCACAGTTTGTAGAAATACCTTTTGATATCTAAAGTAGTATAACAAAGTGGACAAGATATAGCTAAAGCTGAATTTGAGTCCCTGCTCTGTCAATAACTGAATTTAAGCAGATGTCTCAGTAAATTATTTTGTTTTGTTTTTATGGTACTGGGGATTTAACCCAGGGGCACTTTACCACTGAACCATATGCCCAGTCTTTTTTTATTTTGAGATGGGTCTCACTAAGTTGCTGAGGCTGGCCTTGACCTTGCACCCTCCTGTCTCCCAAGTCACTAGGATCATAGACACACTTCACAGCACCCAGCTTCAGGAAGCTTTTTAAACTTTATTTGCTCATCTAACATTAGAAGACTAGTTTGAGAGTCAAACAAAAGACTTAATACTTGCAGAGAACCTGTCACAAATTTCAACAAAGAATATCAGACTCAGACTGAAGAACCCTGGATCACATAGCTTCACAGTTTCATGTTTCCAACTTCTCATATGTCCAACTAATGTGTCATAAGCATATCCTTTTCAAATCAGTTCCAGGCTTCAACCTGTTTCTCCACACAAATAGAAATGAGCTGCCTTTCTCTAAGTCCCAGTGTTGGTTATCAAATACTTTACTACCTCAGGTTTGCAGGTGTACATATATATGCCTTAGCCCACAAGCCTACCATCTAGAAGCAATTATATAATTTGGTTTCTTTCTGGTAAAATTGCAAGACTGACTTCCATTACTGAAATGTGACTGTCTAGGAGGATGGTGTGAAAGTTTAGTAGCCAGTGGTTTGTGTTTTAGCAGATCTCAGTAATTTCACTAACAACCTAAAAAGATGATTTTATTCTTTTTACAACTTCTTAACTTTCCTGTTTTCATCTTATTTTTTAGCAGCACTGGGGATTGAACCTGGGGTGCTCTACCGCTGAGCTACAACCTAAGTCCTTTTAATTTCATTGTGAGACAAGGTACTGCTACATTGCCTAGGCTTGCCTCAAATTTGCAATCTTTCTGCCTCAGCTTTCTTTGTCTGAGATTATAGGCACATACCACTGTGCCCAGCCTTCACCTTGTATTTTTTTTTTAATTTTAAATTGTAATTAACATATAGGAACTAAAAGACACAGAAGCCAAACAGCCATGCTTTCTCTCAGAAATATGTATTACTAGAAACTCAGGGCAGTAAGCAAATGAATAAATGATGGCTTATAAAAATAGTTTATATGCTTTCATGTTTTCATTTCCTACACACTTTCACACATTTTTTATCTTCTACTTTCCTAACAAAACTTGGCTTATTAGAACAAGTGATTAAGACTAAGATTGAAAAACCAGACTGGTAAATCGTTAAAAAATGTAAAAATATTTCAAGAGAAGCCAAACATTTTTCAGAAAACAATGGCTGAAAGTTATGTTGAAGAAGTGCTCTAAGAAGAATATTTATTCCCACGTACAACAGAAAATAAGAAGATGATAATAAGAAATGTTTTAAGCCTTCCTAGAAACAACCAAGAATGTATCTGTGACTTTCAGCCCTGTGTAGGGAAAGGGTAAATATATAAGAACCTGGAAGAAAGCTTTGAAGTGAGCATCCTCTTGAACGGTAGTGTTCTGATCACTTGGGAGGAGAGGGAACAGGCTCTGAAGTCTCACCCTTTCACAAATCACCTTGTTAGGATGGCCAGGTAGAGGTGCTGAATTGGCCCCGGGAGATATCTGGGAAAAAGAGGGAGAAGAAAAGGATAGTTCATGGCTAGCTGCACCAACATGGAGAATCAAGCCTATGAAGGACAGTGGATTTTCTAGTATTTGATGATTCTGTTAGCAGAGACAGGAAAAATTTTTAAAATTTTTAAACATCAAAACATAAGGATGGCAAAGGTTGCCTCTGTCAATGGATCTCTTTATAAAAATTTTGAGGCAAAAGAGCCATGGCTCAAGAACACCAAATCCTTCTTGTTTCCTAAATACCTATGGGTACACCATTTCTATTGATGTTAATTCTGAAATCCTAAAGGTTAGATTTCATGTTAAGAAAACTTGAGGTGGTATTACATATCTTAAGTATAGAATGCCTAGACTAACAATGTGTGTGCCTAGACTAACAATTTTTTCCCCTCATTCTACTTTTAGATAACCTTCCAAATGATCACGCATAGGATTCTTGACAATATTCGTGGTAAAACTTCTATAGCTATCTTACATATGACTGTATACCATATGATATATAGCAACCTTGTTTAACTGGTAATCTTTGCTCTCTCAACATAAGCCTAGAGATTTTCTTAAGGAATAAAGGATAAGATCATAAGCCCCAAAGTAAATAAACTTCTTTTTAAATGCTTGTGGTGGTACACACCTGTAATCCCAGCTACTTGGGAGGCTGAGGCAGTAGGTGTGCAAGTTTGAGGTCAGACCAGGCAAGTTAGTGAGACTCTATCAAAATAAATGAATGAATAAATAAAAATAAAAAAACTAGAGGTTAACTCTGGTAAAGTTCCCTGGGTTCAATCTCCTCATATTTAAATATGTTTATAGTACCTTAAAAATCATGCACACTGCTAGGCATAGTGGTGCATGCTTGTAATCCCAGTGGCTTGGGAGGCTGAGGCAGGACGATTGCGAGTTCAAAGCCAGCCTCAGCAAAAGCAAGGTGCTAAGCAACTCAGTGAGACCCTGTCTCTAAATAAAACAAACAAACAAAACAAAACAAAACAAAAACCAGGGCTGGGGATGTGGCTCAGTAGTTGAGTGGCTCTGAGTTCAATCCCCAGTACCAAAAAAATAAAAATAAAAAATCATGCACACAACCTGTTCTACTCTACCGTGAGGGTGAAATTCTCCTTGGTGGTTGAGGTTTATATATTTGTTTCCACACTAAATATCACATAGTTTAACACTGTCTTGTGTTTTAGAGTTTCATTGCCTCATTTATTCATATTTATTGAAGTGTCTATTTGACAGGCACTAGACCAGAAAGAAAGGCATGATTTCCTACCACTGAGAAGTATGTTACAAAAGGGCTGGGGATACAGCTCAGTGGTAGAGCACTTGTCCAGTATGAACAAGGCCCTGGATTTAATCCCTTGTACTGCAAAATAAAAAGAAAACAAAAGTAAATCACTATATAGTGTAAGTACCTTAATAGTACATGTTATAAACTAGGACAATTGGCAAAAGACCATAGTATAGTCAGGAAATTGCAAAATGTTCAGTATGGCTAGAGAATAAGGAAGAAGTTGGAGAAGGAAAGCAGTGGAATGTTTATTATATTAATACCCTTGCTGTAATAACTTTCCTTAGTTCTTTTATAACCTTTTTTCTTGCTTGCCATGAGCCTGGTAAACATAACCATGTCCACTAATAAGAGTAAAAATACTTTAAAATACCCTCCTAGGAATAAAAGCAAATCACAAGGGCAAGTATTTTAGAATTTATTAATTTGCGACACAAAATTTTTGGACATGAGCTTAAGTTTACCTCTGTAACACTATAAAGTATATATCACTCAATCAAGGAATATTTTCTGATTCCCTCCCACGAGCTAAGTGTTCTAAGAAAGGTATAAAGATAAAACATGAATCCTACCCTTCAGTAAGCTTTATTCTAATTAACAGATGCAAGCAGTCAACTATAGTATAATATTTAAATGAGGCAAATATAGAACACAGGTAAGAAGCCCCAGCTGATCTGAGGGTAAGAGTAGTAAGAAAAGATTTCCTAGAAAGAGGTGGTATTTTCAAAATTCCTGGCTCCTCGCTCAATCTAAGGAATGTTTTTATCATCTCAAAGCAATTTTCTCTCAAAATGTTTCTCTGTAATCTAATGCTTTTAATTTGTATAGTAAATAAATTTTGTAGTGTGCTTAAATAAGGTTATTTGCCTTCAACAATCAAGTCAAAGAGTCTTACAAAATGCTAGTGCCAGTAGTTGTTTAGGAAAACAAATCAGGGGTCAGGTTTTCTCTCTTCCATTCTTTGCTCCTCTAAAAATTTAAGATTTTGGTCACATATAAACAAAAAATACATAACAACAACAATAAAACAAACTAGGCCCCTGTGGCCTTAATATTTTCAAGCATATTCTATCCTACTCAAAACAGCCTCCTTTGGTCAGAAGCTCCAACTGTCTACAAAAAGGGAGGACTAAAATACGGTGGAAGAAAGCTACATTCAAATCATGTAGTTAAAATAAGTATAGGACAAAACCATAGATAAGCTTGATCAAGCCCCCCACCTCCACCAGATAAAATGATATACAAAACATTTTGGGTATATATATGTTAGGCAAAAGGTGCCCCCCCAAGATTTCCACTTCAGGTACAACCCTTCGATCTTATATATGGACAAGACTGTAAATAAGACAGATTTCATATGCTAATGTCAGTCAATTTTAAGTTGATCAAGAGGGAGATATCCTGGGTGGGCCCAACTTCATCAAAGAAAGTTCTTGAAGAAAAGGAACTGAGCCATTCTTGAACCTGAAGAGGGTCTTTACTAACCCTTCAAACCAAGCTACTACACTGTGCAAAGGGATACAAAGGAGGCAATATGGTAGGGACCTGACAGCAGTGTCTAGGAGCTGGAACACTTACTAGAGCAGGGGGTCCAGCAGACAACTCATACCAAGACTCCTGATATATGGAAATTGTAACATTATAGATTTTGTGTTTTATAACAGATTTGTGGTAATCTGTAATAAACCACATAAAATTAACGTGTATATAAAACTAGGATAAAATTTTTTGCTCCAAACTCAAGGGAAGGAAGTTTCTCCAGAATTTAATTATGAAAGAATAAAGGTATTTTAAATTTAAGCATACAGGAGTTTTTAAAACTTCAATTTGGCTGGCGAGTTGTGGCATGCCTGTAACCCCAACAACTTGGGAGGTAGAGGCAAGTTCAAGACCATCCTGAGTAACTCAGTGAGACCTTATCTAAAAATAAAAAGGGCTGAGATGTGGCTCAGTGGTAGAGAACTTCTAGGTTCCATCCCCAGTGCCAGAAAAACAAATCAAATCTCAATCTGGTAATGGCTAACTTCACACCAGGAACTGAACTGGGCTAATATTTATGCACTATATATTAGGTTTAACCAACTTGCTTAAAGCCACATACCTCAAAAACAGCAAAATTATATAATCTGAACCCAAGTCCATCATACACTAAGGTTCATACTCAATGTACTAAACTATCTTTTAGTTTAATCTTTAAAAGAAACATTCTTCTTTATAATTTTCTTTGGTTAGTAACAATTATTCCACAAGAGCTACTTAAAAATAATAAGTGTGTTTCCTTATAAATTGTTTTAGATAAGTTTTCACTAATTCTTCCTCAGTTAAACTTGTAAGGTTAAGATGGGTGCAGTGGCACACACCTGTAATCCTAGCATCTTGGGAGGCTGAGGCAGGAAGACCTCAAATTCAAAGCCAGCTCTAAATAAAATACAAAACAGGGCTGGGATGTGGCTCAGTGGTCAAGTGCCTCTGAATTAAATCCTTGGCACCCCCCCCCCCAAATACATACATACAAACATACATAATGTTAAAGTATACCTGAAAATTGATGAGTATTTTTTTCTAGCCTGGAAACTATTGAGCATTACAAAGATTTGGTTAACTTCAACCTATTCTTAGGGAATATGGAGAACATGGAGAATATAAAATAACTGTTCAACCTATTCTCAGGATGCAACCTGTACTTGCAAAAGCACAGCCATGGAAATATCCCTGAGACAGGATTACGTCTAACTCCTAGAGTTTCTTGGTTTTGATGTTTACTTACATATAACCGTATGAGTAATTACCCCAACATAATGCGGGGGGGGAACCTCAGTTTCACAAGACTGTTTGCAAAAACCAGTTTAACTTTTTAAGCCCCAATACTTGTTATTTTCAGAACAACTTTTAATGTTGCCTTTCTGTTTTGGTAGTCATATATAATCAACAATTTAATTTAATCTTTTTCTTGGAGAGTTTGATAATTATTATCAGTTAATGTGCTAAAAATTACAGAATTTAGGAGACATTGTCCAGAACTTATTCCTTCTAAAACTGCTTCTGATAACAGCTTTCTTCTTCATTCATTTACATTTTCCCAAAAAAGGTGAGGCACAGGATTTGTAAGTACATGACCCCTAGAGGACAGCACTAAAATAATGCACTTTCTACAGAACAAAGTGCTCAAAGGCTTAAATAAACTGCCTTCTCCAAACTGGCCATAATACTCCACAGAAGAAAAAAATAATTGTTCACTGTTACTAGCAGCATATGGGCTGGTCAAAAGCACTCAATCAAAACCGAATACAAAAAAGAAAAAACATCAGATGAAAAGGAGTCAAGGGCTTAGTGTTGCCTCTAGCCAGTCCTTAATCCTCTAGGTCCAAGTCTTGGCATCTACACAATGAAATCCAACTTGTCTTAAGATTCCAAATATTCTCATGTTTCCATGAGAGCAAATGTTAAACTCTTGGGAAGCAATTTGGCAGATTTTATGAACAATTTGAAAAGTATACCTAAAATCTGCATCTGCAATCTTTAATCTGATAAATTCTGTTATGCTCCAAAATAAGGAAAAAGCAACATGAACAAATGTATTCATCATCATAACACAATACCACCAACAATTTAAAAGTAAGCTTAATGCTTTTTGTTTGTTTTGGTACTGGGGATTAAACCCAGGGGCACTTAGCCACTGAGCCACATCCCCAGCTCTTCTCAATTTTTACTTTGAGACAGGATCTTGCCTGCTAAATTGCTCAGGTTCTTCCTAAATTGCTGAGGCTGGCTTTGAACTTGTGATCCCCATCTCAGCTCCCCAGCCACTGGGATTACAGGCATACACCAATGTACCACAAAAGCTTAATGTTTAGTAAGCATTTGCTAAGAAAAATTACAGTGCACCAGTTTGGTGAACTATTACATAGCCATTAAAAATAGCAATAAAAATGCATATGCTATTAAGTAAGAGAGGAACAAAATCATGTAAATGTTATGATTAAGATTGGGGTTAAGGAGCTGGAGTTGTGGCTCAGCAATAGAGGCTTGCCTGGCATGTGTGAATCACTAGGCTCGATCCTCAGTGCCACATAAAAAATTTTTTCACAAATATATACATAAATAAATATATTTTTTTAAAAATTGGGGTTAAGTTCCTGGAATCTCATAAATTTTAGATAAAAATTTAGAAGATTATGAAGAAAAACCAAGAATTCACTCTAAAGGGTAGGGATGTGGGTGTGATGAGCACTTGCCTAGCATGTAGGAGACACTGAGTTAGATTCTCAGCACTGCATATAAATAAATGAATAAATTAAAGGTACATAAATATCTTAATAAAAACTAAAAAAGCACACCAAATCTCCATGTCATATTCAGCATGTCACTTTCACCTAAAAGAGTATATTAAAGCAGGAACTCAACTACTGAAAGAGTAATCTTCCAAAGTAACCAAATAATAGCATAGCCTGCCTTTTTTTTTTTTTTTTTTTAATGTTTTTTAATGAATCTGGTTAGAATAAGACAAGCAGAAAGTTTTGATCAGGACAGGGGAAAAGCTCACCTGCAGATCACCACTTAAGTCAGTGATTGTGCTGGGGAAAGTGAGTGCCTAGGATGCACCGCAAAACAAAAAATAACAAAAGCCAGTTGTTGTCCACAAGTCCACCTCATCAAATTGAGACAAGATAAATCACTGAGATATTCATTTGTACTGTGCCTGTTGCTGGGATATTCCCCCCTACCATTCTGAGAAAGAATTTAGACCTCACTGTTGCTTTGAGTACAGTTGTATCACTAGGCCTAAAGCAAAAGTTTCTTTAGCTTTTACTTTTTGGAAGCATAATTTTCCAAGAGGATTTTACTAGTGGAGCAGGGGAAAGGACGTTGGAGCCAGGAATGTGTGCCTCCTCAAGCCATGCAAAAGACTGGTTTGGATGGGTACAGGAATTTTGAGGGGATGATAAAAATATTCTAAAATTGGACTGTGTTGATGGCTGCACAACTCTGTAAAATTTAACCAAAGTCAATGAATTAAGTGGGGCACTGGCTCAGACAGGAGAATCCCAAGTTCAAAGCCAACCTCAGCAACCAAGGGAGGTCCTAAGCAACTTGGCAAGACCCCATCTCAAAATAAAAAATAAAAGGGGGGGGGGGGGCTGGGGTTGTGGCTCAGTGGTAGCGCGCTCGCCTAGCATGCGTGAGGCACTGGGTTCGATCCTCAGCACCACATAAAAACAAAATAACCTGTCTGCCTAAAACTAAAGATACATAAATAAATAAATGTTTTAAAAAAATAAATAAAAAGGGCTGGGACTATAGCTTGGTGATAAAGCACCCTGGATTCAATTCCCAGTAGCCCAACTCCTATCAATCAATCGATTACCAAGTGGATTTTATGGTCTATAATTTTACCACTCAATAAAGCTGCTTTTAAAAAGACTGATCAAATTTATGGATATTTATGATTTTTAAAAAAAAGAAAGAAAGAAAAAAAAAAGAACCAAGACTCTAATTCTGAAAAGCTGAAGTCCAAAGATCAAGGACAGCTTCAGCAGCTTTGTGAGTGGATGTCTCAAAATAAAAAGCAAAAAGGTCTAGGAATGTGGCTCAGTTATTTTTCCTACAAACACACATAAATACCAATGGCACACAATTGAGATGATAAAAGAAATAAAATCATTCTATTACTTTTATTCAACTGTCAAAAGTTCTCTGAAAATTATTTTTGAAAAGCTAATAGGCTAGGGGAAAACCATTAAAAAAAAAAAAAACTGTACTATCTACCTCAGGGATGATCATTACTCACTACTGCCCAATACTGGCAATTCTTTCTAAAAATAAACTATTATTCCCACTTTTGAGTTAAAGGAAACTAAATGGACCTATGTCTTTCTGGGAGCAAGGCAAAACCAAGATGAATGAAAATAGACATGTACTCCACCTCCTTGCACTTCCTTTCCCTAGTCCAGAGTTCCATAAAATAACGGGAGGGGAGATATTTGCAAGTTTGGAAAACAATGAGACTATACACATGATCCCTCTTCTTGTTTACTCCAAATTTCTTTCTCATTAATTTACTACAGAGTTCAAGCATTTGCTTTATATCCTCTAGATTAACAGTGCCTTCTTAGGTATTTAACATTTCCTATGAATAAACTAGAACAGAACTACATCTTCCAAATGGATGCTTACAATCTGACTGCTCTTAAGCAGAGAAAAAGTGAACTATAGGTTAACTACAATGGAACAGGAATGAAACTGTTGTCATTTGATATGTGAATTTAGCAGGAAACCAGAAAATCAGTAAAATAACCCAGACACCATGGCACAATAAAAACTGACAGAGAATTATCTTCCCAGCAAGATGAATTACAAAATGGGAGTGCCTAAACCAAACTAGGGGCAGCATGAAACAAAGAGAAATAGATGAAACAAACTAGTAGATAGATAATCTTTATAATCTTTTTTTTTTCCTTTGTACTAGTGATTGAACCCAGGAGTGTTTAACCACTAAGCAACATCCCCAGCCCTTTTTATTTTGAGAGAGTCTTGCTTAAGTTGCTAAGGGCTTCAATAAATGGCCTAGGCTGGCCTTGAACTTTCCATCCTAAGCCTCCAGAGCTACTGGGATTATAGGCATGTGCAACGCTGCCCCGCTAAGACAGATAAACTAGGTCTTTCCATACTGACCAAGCAACTGATCATTTCATCAATTTTTATCTTGATTTCTCTCTATATTTTACATGCAGCCTAAGAAAGAGTAAGAACTGGGTAAAAAACAGTGCTTTTAAAAAGTTTAGGTTTTTGCCCATTTGCTGCTGTTGGCAAAGAGAACACAATAGACCTACATTCTACATTATGATGCTACCAGATTCAATTATGTCAGACTACGTCATTCTGTTTACTTTTCCTCATAAGTCAGAATGTTTTAGCACAGAAAATTCTCAGTATCTACTTGCCGATTTAGGTTAGCTATAAAAGGTATCAGAGGTGGAGGGCCCAAAAGTCCAGTTCTTTCTTATTTTGGAGGACCTGAGGTCCAAGTGGCTAGTCGGTTGCAGAACATATTCAATTATAGTCTTTAAAACCTCCAATTCTCTTAGAAATGAATCTAAAGAGAATATTATAGGAATTGACTTTAAAGGGACCCTTATAAATGTGTAGATTTATGACTAAGTTTTCAAAGTGTGAAATGCATTATATAAGTTATAAGGCAGGAGGAACTCAGGTAAGGGCTAACTGAAGAAATAATACTCCTAGTTAAAATTCAAGTTATAAATTTTAATATCAAGTGCTCCACCTTTCCATACCCACATATTTAGGTTTCCATTGTTGACGTCTGTGTCAGTTGCATTCCTTCTTTAGATCCTGTTCCTGAACAATTTCGCTTTGGTTTTAATTCTGCCGGTAAAAACCATGAGTGGATTTTGTTTGAAGCCTAAATTAAAAGATCTCGTTGCTATTTAAAGGAACTATGGTAAACATGTTACAACAGTACCTGCAAACAAAGCCATATTGATGTGGCAGGCTTGGAATTGTAAGATAATAAATTAGTATGATGAGCATGTATAAGCGTTGAACACATTTTACTTTTCTGTTAAATCCACGGCTTATGAAGGGAAAAAAAAGGCAATTCATAAGATGCTAGCAATGATTACATTTAAGTATTCACTTCTATTTATGGTGGAAGAATTAGCATACTCAACTTTTACTTATTAACATCACATATCATTTTTGCAACACAAAGAAAATCTCCCTCCCTTACAAGCAGTACACACCAAAACAAAAACTTTATTCTCTTTAGATCTCAATAACCTGAAAAACTCCAGTTTCAAAAACCAACCTCTCTCATTCTTCAGCCCTGAAAGGAAGAACTTCCATCCCCTGAGAACAAAACGCAGACCGTCCAGAAACCCGAGGGGGCAGAAGGCCGGGAGAAGAGAACCCCTGCGACCGGGTTCTGCGTTCTCCTGGGTGACATCATTACACCTGCGCCTCGGCAAAGAGGGAGGGAGCGAGAGAGCGGGGCCATCTGCCAGGCGGCAGAGGGCCGGCGCTCAAGCTAGCTGAGCTCGCACTCCTCGCCGCCGCTGCGGGAACAAAGAGAGCTGGGGCACTCGGGCCAAACCTCCTCACGGCTACCACCGGCCCGAGGCCCGTCCCGCCCTCGCGCGGGAACCAACGGCCATTGCTGCCAGTACCTGTGAGGGGAGGCTCCGCCCTGCGGGGCTGCTCCCGCGGCTTCCTGCTGGGCCGCCGCCTCCTATTGTGACCGCTCGCCCAGCCAGCGGCCAGCTCGCCAGCTCCGCCGTCCCCGGGCCTCCTCACCCCCGGAACCCGGGCTCTGACTGAGGCGCTGTCACGGCGCTTCCTTCCTCCGGGCACCATCACACGGGCCGCGCCAAGAAACGACGGCTGCACACCGAGAGCTGAGAGCCGTCTAACACCTTGGACGCCCCATTCTCTCCGCCCTGCGCCCCAACCGCCCGGGGCTTCGCCACTGCCGCACCGCTGCACGAGGGGACCCCGCCCCACCGCACCCAGCCTCGGCCCTCGCGGACCCGGTCTCGCCGCGCGCCGGCGCACTGGCGCACTGTTTTCCGCTGCGTGCGCAGCGACGCCCCTCCCATTTCTGGATGTTGCCCCCGCCCCCGCCCCGCGCGCGCCCTGCCCCCTCTCCGACACAAACCTAGCAAGCCCAGAGCGCGAGACCGCCTGAGCGCTCCGCCCCTTTCCCCCTCAGCCCTACTCGCTGTGCCGAGTCCCCTTTGTTTCCACCCCGCGGGGGCGGGGCAGCGCGCGTCTCAGCGCGCTCAGAACCAGTTCCGGCAACAGAGTCTGACGCGCAGCACCACTGCGCAGCCCCGCCCCAGCCCTCTGCGCGGGTGCTCGGGCAGTGCTGCCCAATTCATTTTCTCCTAGGTATGTTGTTACTGTTGCTCGGTACCTACCACTCCAAAATTCAGCAAACAATAACCTAATCGAATTCTCAAATATGTATTCTGTGGCCCAAGAGAATGGAAGTTTTTATTGATATAGACAAAATTGTCTCGCAAGGGAGCAAGCTGGTTGGAACCCAACTTGGACTAAAGCTTCACAGGCCTGATAGTTATTCAAACCTTGCTGCAGAGTGTGAAAATAAGGATGCGGACTGAAGTAGGCTTGGTTCCCGAAAATGTCCAAGATCCAAGAGAGAAGACTATTCATAAAAGCACAATAAATGATAAAAATTGTTAAATGGTATTGTAGTGGGGAGGGAGGAATTGGGGAGAGCATCACAGAAGACGGGGGCTTTTAAAAGTAGAAGATTCCTACAAGGATGGTGAGGTTTTCTTTTTTTGGGGGGCGGGGGTACTAGGAATTGAACGCAGGGGTACTTGTGAGCCACTTGCCCAGTGGGGTTTTGTATGTTTTAGGATCTCGCTAAATTGTTGAGGCCGGCTTTGAATTTGGCAATCCTCCTGCCTATTAATCTCCCCAGGTGCTGGGATTATAAAGGCAAGCGCCACCACGACTGGAAGATGGTTAACATATTTTAAAGGTGACTAGGTCCAGTCAGAACACCAAAGTTCTAATTCTTTGGGCATTACTTAAACCTGTTTCCTTCCCTCTCTGGACCTCAGCTGCCTCAAAGTAAGAAATGAGGGAATCAAGCTAAACTGATGTTTCAGAACCCTCTAAACCTTGTACATTCTATTTATGAAGGAAATAACCGTGTACATTTGTCTTCCATATCACAATAAAGCACCAGATCTGAAACCAAACAGCAAGTGCAAACTAATTCCAGGGCAAAGGAAAGCTGAAATGAGATAACAGGCCCCTATGAACATATATCCCCCTCATCGGATCCCTACACTCTTTTTAATGTAGAGTTATCTAGCTGACTCTTCCCCCAAATTCTCTGCCAGTCTTTCAAAATAGCCAGCTTGGAGATAACATTTTTTTTTTTTTTTCACTCGATGGCTCAGTTAAAGTCTCAATCACACCTTTAGGTGCACCCAGTATAATTCATTTCTAAGCGTTGGGTTCCTCAACATTTCCCACTTCACTGCTGTGGATTTGCCTCACATTACAGCTCTTCCATCAGAATCTCAGCTAAAACAGAAAGCTTTTCATGCATAATGCCGACCACCCTGAAACACCTTTTCCTTCATGCTTGGATATGGGCTATTTTATGGGAAAAGGGAGAAGAAAATTGGGAAATGGAAGGTAAATTATCAATTATAAAAGGTGGATTTCTGTGCTAATCACAGAGCCAAAACCTCTTAACAGCTGTCTTTAGTTCCTCACCCATAAGCTTAAGTGAATTTTTCTGCCATTCAGTCAACCTTTTGTGAGGAAAACTCCTTGAAAACCTTTCAAACAGTTAAGATCTTAACTGAGCTCTGAGAGCTTAACCTGCAAAGTCTGTCAAGATGTAAATAATGCTGCCACAACTCCAGGTTGGATAGTTTGAAGTTTCTACTACAATTTCTTTAAAGATTCCTTAACCAAAAAATCTAGTGCTAGTACCCAGTGGGCAAATAGGCTTTTAAGGTAGGTCAATTTCAACAACTAAATGACAAGGATTAAATTCTATCAGAGCAGCTCCTCAACAACTAACTGTTCAATCAAAATTTTACTTGATGTCTGTCCACAAAGGTAAAAAATCCTGTTGGAGAAATATTTAGTAAAGCTTTCTACAATGATAGAAATGTTCTACATCTGCACTATCCTAAAGGTAGCTACTAGCTAGCTACATGTATCTACTGAGCACTTAGATTGTGGCTAGTACAACTAGTGAACTGATGAAAATCCGTTTAAGAGGCACATATGGTTAGGGGACAGCATAGCATTTGTAGGAAAAGTAGTTGCTGTAGCAAGAGCTTTTTGAGAATTTAAGACTGCCCTTTACAACTGGTTTTATTGCTCTTTACAACTGTGAATGCCTACTAAAAAATTGTTCAGCTGGAGATAGGAAAATATTTAAGCTTTTAAAATAAAAACAAACCAAAACCAAACCTGCTTACCAAATAGGAAAATATTTAAATGCCTTCGAATGAGTCTGGTAGTTAATGAGATTGTTGATCCTTGAGTTCTGCCATTCTTAATACACAAGAATAACAGCAGCCATCACAAAACTTAATTTAGGTATCTGCCACCACACTGAAATGCACATAATTTTAGAATTAATCACCAAGTGAAGTTTATATATCAGTCCCCTGCTTATTTGTTACAAGTGTTTCATAAATAAAAACAAAATAAACTTAATAGGAAATGACATTTAAAAGGTCACCAAAAGAATGTCAGCAATAATATTAAAAATATATATTACTACATCATATTTCTAATTATGCAAGATATTTCACAATAAAGCTAGGTGGGAACTATTTAGAAACACATAATACTATGTACTAAATAAATTTCAGATAGTTTTATTAACTTTGTATCCTTTCTGAGCTAAGAAAACACAATAAATATCTGAATGGAGACCAACTTCCTAAAACTTAAAATAAGGCATATTTTAAAGGAACACACCAATAGATTTGGCCCTCCAAATCACTTTCTTTAAATGAATAATTTCTTTGAATAAAATAAAAATCACTTAAAAATTAGTGATGACCAAAAGTGAATTCAAAATGGATCAAGGAGCTTGATATCAAATCAGAGACGCGCCGTCTGATAGAAGAAAAAGTTGGCTACGATCTACAGTCGGTGGGGTCGGGCTCCAAATTCCTCAATAGGACACCCATAGCACAAAAGTTAATAACTAGAATCAACAAATGGGACTTACTCAAACTAAAAAGTTTTTTCTCAGCAAAAGAAACAATAAGAGAGGTAAATAGGGAGCCTACATCCTGGGAACAAATCTTTACTCCTCACACTTCAGATAGAGCCCTAATATCCAGAGTATACAAAGAACTCAAAAAATTAGACAATAAGAGAACAAACAACCCAATCAACAAATGGGCCAAGGACCTGAACAGACACTTCTCAGAGGAGGACATATAGTCAATCAACAAGTACATGAAAAAATGCTCACCATCTCTAGCTGTCAGAGAAATGCAAATCAAAACCACCCTAAGATACCATCTCACTCCAGTAAGATTGGCAGCCATTATGAAGTCAAACAACAACAAGTGCTGGCGAGGATGTGGGGAAAAGGGTACACTTGTACATTGCTGGTGGGACTGCAGATTGGTGCAGCCAATTTGGAAAGCAGTATGGAGATTTCTTGGAAAGCTGGGAATGGAGCCACCATTTGACCCAGCTATTCCCCTTCTTGGTCTATTCCCTAAAGACCTAAAAAGAGCATGCTACAGGGACACTGCTACATCGATGTTCATAGCAGCACAGTTCACAATAGCAAGACTGTGGAACCAACCTAGATGCCCTTCAATAGACGAATGGATAAAAAAAAATGTGGCATTTATACACAATGGAGTATTACTCTGCATTAAAAAAATGACAAAATCATAGAATTTACAGGGAAATGGATGGCATTAGAGCAGATTATGCTAAGTGAAGCTAGCCAATCCCTAAAAAACAAATGCCAAATGTCTTCTTTGATATAAGGAGAGTAACTAAGATCAGAGTAGGGACGAAGAGCAGGAGAAGATGATTAACATTTAACAGGGATGAGAGGTGGGAGGGAAAGGGAGAGAGAAGGGAAATTGCATGGAAATGGAAGGAGACCCTCAGGGTTATACAGTGGAGGGGGTAGAGAGAGAGGAGGGGAGGGGAGGGGAGAGGTGGGGAGGGGGGAGGGTGGAGGATGGGAAAGGCAGCGGAGCACAACAGACACTAGTATGGCAATATGTAAATCAATGGATGTGTAACTGATGTGATTCTGCATTCTGTGTATGGGGTGAAGGTGGGAGTTCATAACCCACTTGAATCAAAGTGTGGAATATGATATGTCAAGAAATTTGTAATGTTTTGAACAACCCACAATAAAAAATTAAAAAAAAAAAAATTAGTGATGACAAAAAAGAATACCCCCATAGAAGAGAAAATATGTGCAAAAAGACACAATTCAAAAGGAAAAAAAGCAATCTAAATGTCTTCAATTCTAAATCTCCACAAAGAGTGATTCTCCAGAGGGAGAATCATCATGTTTTTCTTGATCACTC